TGTGTGTGTGTGTGTGTGTGTGTGTGTGTGTGTGTGTGTGTGTGTGTATACCTCTCCTTCACCCAGCTGGATGGGAGTTCTAGTTGAGCTGTGTCTCTTCTCTGTGACTTGTATGTTCATTGTTTTCTGGCTTGTGGTGTTTATCTGTCACTCTTGTCTGTTCCTTTGCACTTCAAGCATCTTTTTTTCTTTCTGCATGCTTTTGGGACTTTTTGATTTTGTTTAAAGTTCTGATCCTGGTTCTTAACATTTAATATCACTAATATCAAACACTTACAGTTCTGCATTCATAATAAGGAAATGTAAGGAATGCTGTTCATCTTCCAGCTTCTTTTATATCCCCATTCTCTGTATTTTCCATTCCCAGAGAGTTTGTAGGGAGACTAAAAATTTATTTGGCCAAAAAATAATAATTTGGCCTGATGATATTTCATTATTTTTATTATTTCTAAATATTAAAATGTAATGTTGAAAGCTCTCAGAAACTTAACTATCATTACAAAAATCGCTAAGGTTTTTGTGGTAACTGGACATGGCTCGTGACATAACAACTCAGCACTGTCCCTGTTTATTTCTTTTTTAATAGTATCAGCGGTGCAGAATTTGGGACAAGTTACATGAAGAGCACATCAATGCAGGGCGCACTGTTCAGGTAAGGCTGCTGTGTTTGGTGAGTCAATAGGAAAAAGACGGCTTTGAGAAAATTGTGCTTATATTCAGGATGATAAGCCTGTATCTAAAGTGCTCATTCCAAAATGTGTGTGATGAGACCCAAGTATAACCAAAGTTCATTCCTGTTTCACTCATGCCTTTACTCTCATGCCTGTTTACACTCATTGCCAGAGGCAATGGCAGGATTTTTAGTGCACCCATGTTTGGTCTCCATCTCATCAGGTCAGCCTGGTTAGGAATTATAGGTGTTGGAGTCAAGGTCCTCAGCTTATCCTTCCTAATTGATTTCTTTTGTGTATTTGTTACTGTTTTACCAGGAACTGCCTAGTTACAGTTCATGTTACCTAATTTTCCTTCAGGAATAATATATTAACTTATATTTTCACAATCAATGCATTTTCTAAAAACCTTAAAAATTTCATAGTATTTCCCAAGATTGTATTAATTAATTGGTTGGCTGACATAATGCTATTTGTAGTTTTAACCTTTTTTAAAAAAATTGCTCTGAAGGGTAAACATTTTTTACATATGCCTTGGGCTGATATTTGTTAATTGTTGTGTATGTTCTTCATGTATAGTGTGCTTATGTGTTTTATAAGACACTGACATCTAATATTTGACAGAATTCTATGAAATGCATTCCTCATTTTAGTTGTTTAAAATTTTTTTCTAATTATTTTAAACTAGATTTTAAAAATAGTGTATTAAGGGCCTGAGATAGTTCATCAGGTAAAGGCGCTTGCCATCAAGCCTGACAGCGCAAGTTCCAGCCCCAGGACCCACACAGTGGAAGGAGAGAACTAGCTGTTCTTTGCTCTCGACACGTGTGCTGTGGTGCTCAGGCACACCCACACTAAATAAGTAAATAAATGGTAATCTTGAAAGATTATATTCATTAATATTTTTAAAAGTACACTACAGTTAAGAGACAGAAAACCCACAGTTCCCTATTTTCCAGACCCGTCTGGAAGAATCCGTTGTGAGGCCGTTGGCTCCTTTCCTGTGTTACCTAGTTGTTATGAGCAGCCCATGTAGCTGGTGGTTTGGATGCCATCTCCTCACCCCCGCCATGTGGGTGGAGCTCTTTCCACTTTGTTCTCCTACCTCCTTTCTCCTTTTTAATTGCATACACACAGTCCTTGGTTCAGGTAGTACTCAGTATCATTATTTTGATTATAAGGACATTATTTTCTGCCAAGACAAATAGTAAAACTCAGACCAGCCCTTTGTTGTTTTTTTTTTTGGTTTTTTTTTTTAAGTTAATAACAACCTATTTTTAATTACCTTGTTTTCTGTCTGTGTGTCTTTGAGTTTTGTTAAAATGCTCCACATGTCTTATCACATTGCTGTTGATAACATTTTCATGTGTGGATATATCTGTTCCATTCTTCATTTTGGAAGCTCCGTCCTTAAGCTAGTCACCTCCAGTTCCAGTGGGACTCTGTCTCTTGCATAACTGCTGCCCAGGGACTTCCCCACGTATTCCTACATAGGAATAGGAGCTGCGACGTTTTGCAGATATCTGGTCTTCCTCAGTTCTTATTTCCTCCACTGTTTTGCTGGTTAGCATCCAGAAGGAAAGGGTTAAGTAGCCATGTGCATAAAACCCTCACTGTAGTTTCACCAGGTGTTGAGTTCCCTGGAACTGGCTTTCCGGAGTGACTGCCTTCCTGCTCTTTGTGTTCCTCTTTCAGAAGCTGAACTCACCTCTTTGAACAGGCCTTTACCTCCTGGGGACCTTTGTGCTCTGCTTATCTCTAGTGCTCTGAAAATTTAATGATGTGTGTTGTATTGTATCATTTCCATCTCAAAACCAAGGTTCATTAGTTCTGTGAAATTTTATTTGCTTATTAATTTGTATTATTTTATTTTATATTTTATGTGCATTGGTGTTTGGGCTGCATGTATGTCTGTGTGAGGGTGCTGGAGTCACAGACAATTGTGAGCTGCCATATGGGTGGTAGGAATTGAATTTGCATTCTTTTTAAAAGCAGCTAATGCTCTTAGCCACTGAGACATCTCTGGCATCTGTTATTTGTATTCTGAGACAGGATCACACTTGGGCACAGGCTGGCTAGTTCAGATCTCATCATGTATAAAAAGTCAGGTGTGGTGGCATGCATCCTTTCACACCCAGTGAGGACAGGCAGATCCCTGGAGTCTGCTGGCCAGCCAGCTTAGAAAATCAGTGAGCTTCATGTTCAATAAGAGACCATGTCTCAAAAAACAAGGTAGGGAAGAGTAGAGGAAGACACCCAACAGGCTCATATATACAGTCACACATACTCACGTATACGAATGTGTACACATATTATTTTATTGTAAAGGTTAGCAAACCAACTCCCAGACTATATCTGACCTGACATACATTCATTCACTCACTCACCCATCCATCCATCCGTCCTTCTGTTTGTTTATTTATTTATTTACTATTTTTACATTACAAGTTCTGAGTTGAATAGTTGCAACAGAGATCATATGCCTTACAAAGTCTAAGCTGTGTACTATCTGGCCCTACAGAAAGGTTTGCCAATCTGTGTTCCACTGAATATTGGAACTCCTAGATTGCATGGCTCAGTGCTTAAAAAGTACTGCACAAGCCTAAGAACTTGAGTTTAGTCCCCAGAACCCACATAAAAAGCTGGACACTACAGTACATGTCTTAATTTCAGCATTCCTAGAGCAAAATGGGAAGCAGAGAGAGGGGAGTCCTCCAGAAGTTTCTGGGCTAAATAGTGTGAGTACTTGGTGTAGCAGTGAACAAGAGAGACCTTGCAAAACAAAGTGAAAGGCAGGAGCCAACACCAGAGGTTATTCACACACAAGCACATATGCACATCCAGGCAAAAACATATGCACAAATGTATATACAAACATATTTTTACATTAGTATGCTGTAGTGTGTTGCAAGATAGTAAAAATTGAATGAAATGAATGCAAGACTTCCCTAGAAAAGGTTACAGAAGTGCAAGGAGTAGATATTAGTAGCTTCAAGAAAAGAAGATAAAGTTGGTCATGGTGGAGCATGCCTATAATCCCAGCACTCAGGGAGGCAGAGGCAGGTGGATTGCTGTGAGTTTGAGTGCAGCCTGGTCTACAAAGCAAGTCCAGGACAGCCAAGGCTACACAGAGAAACCCTGTTTCAAAAAAAAAAGGAAGGAAGGAAGGAAGGAAGGAAGGAAGGAAGGAAGGAAGGAAGGAAGGAAGGAAGGAAGGAAGGAAGGGAAGGAAGGGAAGGGAGAGAGAAAGAAAGAAAGAAAGAAAGAAAGAAAGAAAGAAAGAAAGAAAGAAAGAAAGAAAAAGAAAATAGAAAGAAAGAAAAGCAGATTGCTTGAAATGTAGACAGAAAGCTGACAGATGTGTTTGCTAGATGGTGAGTAGATTACAAGCCTCAGGAAGAAGGCAGCATCTCGGCTCTTCACCTCTCACAGTGCTGGTGCCATCAAGATTTAGTGAAGGTCCAGTGATCTTGAGTGTTAATGAGATTATTTTGACTTGGGTTTCTTACCATCTTGATTGTTTAATGTTTCACTAACAATCACATGATTTGATTGAGATATTGACTGTGTGAGACAATTTGTGTACTAATGTTTAAAATTATGTTGACATTATTGGTCTCCATCTGGCCATTAAAGTAATGAGCTCAAACTGTTGTTAGATACACGTGTTTGCTTACTTTACTTATTTCTGCTCTGGACTTAGTGTATAGGCTTCTTCATGGCTAGTTTGGAATAAAAACAATTTTCAGAGAAACAAGTTCATGAACAAGTTAAGGTTTTCCATATTTTTCAGAATTACATTTCTGTAAGACCTACCTTTTCAGTTTGACTTTGTCTTTGGAGACAAAGGTCTTCTTAACTTACGTGCAATCTAATTTCCCAACCTTTTATTTTTTAATGATTTTGGAATTTTCTCTATACTTAGATGATGATAAACAAGATTTTGCTTCAAAATTTTCATTAATTTTGTTTTTCAGACAGAGTGTTATATAGCTCAGGTTGGTCATCTAGATTTAAGGCTGGCCCCAAACTCTTACCATCCTTGTCTGTTTCTCCTGAGTTAGGTAGTATTACAGGTGCACACCACTATACAGGGTATTAATTAATCTGTTCTTCGGTACCTTACAGCATGTGTGTGTGTGTGTGTGTCTGTGTGTGTGTGCATGCACACATTGTATGTAGAGTGTCCAATGTTGACTTTTAATTAGGTTTTCTAAATTTTCAGTCAATATAGATACATAGTTAATTTTCATAAATAGATTTTATAGCGAATTACTTTTAAATTTTTATTATTTCTAATAACTTTTTGTAATCCCTTTGAATTTTCTTTTCATAGTTGAACTTTTTGAGACTCATTTTTCTTCTTTTATGATATCACTGTAGTTTTAGATTCCTATTTTATTTTGATTACTTGACTTTTTGAAAATCTGGCTCACTGACCACTTGAAGAAAGAGTTGCTTGCTCAGCTGGGTGGTGGTGCACACCTTTAATCCCAGCACTTGGGAGACAGAGGCAGGCAGAGTTTAAGCCCAGGCTGGTCTACATGACAAGCTCCATGATAGCCAGGGACACACAGAGAAACCCTGTCTCAAACAAAACAAACAAACAAAACATCAATGAAAAGCTTGTTCAGATATATATTACACATTTTTACAGTTTGAATCTTATGTGACACTGTCTGCTTTAAACAAGTTACATACAGTTTATGAGCTCAAGTTTCCCCAACTGTCAAATCAGTGTAACAGTTCCTAACTCTGGGGATGGTTGTAAGATGGTCAGCCATTTGTGCTAGTGTCCTACACAGCCCCTATCATAACAGCAGACATTTAGTAGGTTAGTTCAGTTTTAGGTGGGTATAATTGCGTTACTTTCCCCAGCCCTCTGACCTGTCATATGAAAGTGTAAGGTAAATATTCTGGATGTGGGTTTGTGCAGGCCAAAGGTCAATGTCCATTATCTTCCCCACTCACCTTAGTTTTT